TACTTTTATAATTAAGAAAATTATACAATTAATTAGTAATCTAAAAAAGCAAAATTATACAATTAAAAAAAAGGAGATTGTTTTTATAGGTATACTTTTCTCTCTATATGTTGTTGTTTTAAAAATTTACATTTCTCTTATTTTCATATATTGTTTTTTCTTTTCCTTTTTGTGTATATTTTAAAATAGAAAATATTCAAATTTAAAAATATTAATTAGTGAGATAGAAAAAACGTTAATTATTGACATGTCAGATTGCGATTGGTCGTTTAAAATCCCACGTGGACAGCCTCAGAAGCTTATAGCCTCGACTTTTATATAGTATAGACTAGGTTCTAAACCCACGCTACGCGTGGGTCTATATTTAATACTTTTAGTAAATTTTTGTATAAATAATAATATTAATTAAAATTTTGAAATATATGTTTTTATATGGCTACTTATTGTTAATAGTTTAAATTCTTTGAATTTTAAAATTACCATGGAAAATAGTTCAATTTAAATACACAATTCAATTTTTAGGTTTTTACAACATTGATTAAAAACATATTTTTGTTTAATAGCTCTCTCTTTAGCTTTAGATATTTTGGATGACTGAGTCTTTTCATGTACGACGTTTTGGCTGAATCTCATAAAATAAATTGTTGTAAGGGGACATAATTCGATGACTTTCTCATTTTGGTATGCTCAAATTCACTATTTTTTTTGTCTATCTTCACTGCATTAGTTAGTATAGCTCTTTAAAAAAAAAGATTCTATAAAAAAAATATACTTATAAGCTTATCTATACTTTCTTTTTAACAACTCATATTTTTCTCTCATTCTTTTCAATATGAGTATGAATTTCCGTCTTCACAATTTTTTTTTGTGAGGTATCACTCTTTCTATCTTTTTGCAAGCATTCATTGTCTTTGTCATTCTCTATTCCCATTAGCACATCTACCATTCACAAATATTCTTAATCTAAGAAATTATTATATATATATATATATATTCTAATAACTAAATCTTACATTATTCTTATTTCCATATGTTGTTTTCAACATTTTACATTTCTCTTCTTTACATATCTATTATATTTTCCTTTTCACAAATATCTTCCCATATCTTAATATAACAAAATATTAGAATTTAAAAATATTAATTATTGTGACGTTTAAAAATATTAATTAGTGAGATGCCTAACTGCGATTGGTTGTTTTAAATCCCCAATACTGTTTTCTTTCCTTTTTCACAAATATTTATTTTATCTAATAAATGAAATATAAAGATATTAAATCAATGATAATGCTATTATGATTAACTAATATTTTTCTATTTAGAATAATTTCTATATTTTAAATATTTTTGTTTATAAAATAATAAAATTTTAGAAAAATATAACTATACATTTGATTATTTTATATTATATATTTTTCTTACAAAATTTATATTCAGAAAATTTTCTATATTTCTATATATTTTTCTTATTTTCATATGTTACTTTAATCATTTTTACAAAAATTTTAATATAGAAAATTAGTAGAATCTAAAAAATGTTAATTAGCGAGATGGCACACCACAATTGGTCATTTAAAATCCTACGTGGACGGTCTCAGAAGCTAATGGCTTCAAATCAAAATATGTTAACTAATGAGATGACAAATCAGGATTGATGGTTTAAAATCCCACGTGGACGGCATCTTTAAGAAATTTAATAATCTTTAAGAAATAAAAACTTTACATTTTTGATTAGTTATATTATGTTTATATATAACACAAGATTATAATTTGAAAGATTTCCATATTTTCAAATATTTCTCTTTTTTTGACAAAATTTATATTCAGAATTGTTTCATATTTTTAGATATTTCGTTTATAAATTTAATAATCTTTTAAAAATTAAAACTTTACATTTTGATTATTTATATTATGTTTTTAAATAACACAAGATTATTTATATGATGTTTATATATAACACAAGATTATAATTTGAAATATTTCCATATTTTCAAATATTTCTCTTTTTTCGACAAAATTTATATTCAGAATTTTTTCATATTTTTAGATATTTTGTTTATAAATTTAATAGTCTTTTAAAAATTAAAACTTTACATTTTGATTATTTATATTATGTTTTTAAATAATAATATTTATTTTTAGTAGATTTTTGTGTAAATAATAATATTTATTAAAATTTTAAAATATATGTTTTTATACGGCAACTTATTGTTAGTATTTTAAATTCTTTGAATTTTAAATATATGAGCATACAGGGTTGTTTAAAAAAATCTCTAATACAATTTTTAGGTTTTTACAACATTTATTATAATAACATATTTTTGTTTAATAGCTCTCTCTTTAGCTAATTGAGTCTTTTTATATATGACATTTTGGCTAATCTCATGAAATAAATTGTTGTAAGGGAACATAGTTTGATGACTTTCTCATTTTGGTATGCACAAATTCACTATTTTTTTTTGTCTATCTTCACTGCATTAGTTAGTATAGCTCTTTTCAAAATAAGATACTATAAAAAAAAAATACTTATAAGCTTATCTATACTTTTTTTTTAGCAACTCATATTTTTCTCTCATTCTTTTCAATATGAGTATGAATTTCCGTCTTCACAATTTTTTTTTTGAGGGCTTTCACTCTTTCTATCTTTTTGCAAACACTCATTGTCTTTGTGTCATTCTCTATTCCCATTAGCACATCTACCATTCATAAATATTCTTAATTTAAGAAATTATTTTATATATATATTCTAATAACTAAATTATACATTATTCTTATTTCCATATGTTGTTTTCAACATTTTACATTTCTCTTCTTTACATATCTATTATTTTTTCCTTTTCATAAATATCTTAATATAAAAATATTAGAATTTTAAAATATTAATTATTATGACGTTTAGAAATATTAATTAGCGAGATGCCTAACCGCGATTGGCCGTTTTAAATCCCAAATTTGTTTTTTTTTCTTTTACACAAATATTTCTTTTATCTAATAAATAAAATATAAAGATATTTAATTAATGAGAATGCTATCGGGATTAACTAAAATTTTTATATTTAGAGTATTTTACATATTTTAAATATTTTCGTTTATAATATAATAAACTTTTCGAAAAACAAAACTTTACATTTGATTATTTTATATTATATATTTTATTACAAAATTTATATTAAGAAATTTTTCTATATTTCTGTATATTTTTCTTATTTTCATATGTTACTTTTATCCATTTTTACAAAAATCTTAATGTAGAGAATTATTAGCGAGATGGCACACCACGATTTGTCGTTTAAATTTCTAAAGATATACCTGTTAATATATCTTTCAATTTTATAAATAATTTATTTTAAATAACAAACCGAATCAAGCCAAACCAAATTAATCCAAACCGAATTAAAATGAACCAAAATGAATTTGATTAGAGACTTGATGTTTTAAATAAAATGTCGACCCCTAATTGTGATTAAGAAGGGATATTGGCAAATTTGGTGAGACAAATAATGATATTGTTTTAAATATTCTAATTACAAAATTTTTCCGTTTTTCTTTTTTTGCATATGTTTTTTCAAAAATTTACATTTTTCTCGTTTCCGTAGATATTGTTTTTTACCTTTTTTATAAGTATCTTAATTTTCTATTGATTATATTTTGTATATTCTAATAACACAATTTTATATTTTTTGTTTCCCATATGTTTTTTTTTAAGTTTACATTTTTTTTGTTTACATATGTATATATAGATATTATTTTTCCCTTTTTTAAAGTATCTCAATATAGAAAATTATTGGAATCTAGAATTGTTAATTACCGAGATGGCTAATCGTGATTAGTCTTTGAAAATTTTGTGGATAGTTTCACAAGTTTATAGCTTCAACTTTCATGTAGTATAGAAGCTAGTGATTTCGACTTAAGCTATGAAATTTTTATAACTTTTAGAACTTCAAATTTATAAAATCATGGTTGTTAATAACTCCAAATTTATGAAGATTTTAGATTACTATTTACAAATACATAAACAAATAATTGAAAAATCTTAAATTGAATAACAATAGAATCTTCATAATATTTAAATCTACTCCTTCATACTTGTCCTCTTATTGATGATAAAAAGATACTCGAAAAGAATACAGAAAATTACAAAAAAAAAAATAGTCATCTGCCATCTTTAATATAATTATCATCGTAATCGGTTATATTTGGCAAACAAACACGCCAAACTTTTGTTTCTTCAGAATATAATAAACTTCATTTTATTATACACATGTTCAGATTGTATGATGCAGATTGCATTTGTAAACAACCCTGTATGCTCCTAATCCGATCTATAGATCTTCAGAGAATGATGAAGTTGCGGTACTGATTTCTTCCCAAAGTGAACTCCTCTTGGTATTGCACCACAAGGGAACTTCAACGAACTTATCCTTCTCTTTGGCTTCGCGGGTTGCTTTCATCTGGGTTCTCTTCTCTGTGCGGCCTCTCTCTCTTCCCTTGTCTTGTGCTCAAACTTGTGTATTTCATTTACTTCCAACTCCTTCGTTTCATGCCCTTTTTAGCGTTAACTCTTGGAAGTTGAGTTCATTTAACCGAAACCATTAAGGGGACAGATTTATTACACACACAAACGTAAATATTTTTTGCACCGGATAAATATTTTGGCTGGGTCCGCCCCTGGCTAAGATGCATCATCGTATATAAGTTATCCAAATTTTTCAGAGATTTTTCAAGTCATAACATAATGCTGCTAGTGTTGAGCTTGAGTTCTTGGTAGCTACACAGAGATGGAAATCGTGAAAGGCAATTGGGATCTACTTATTGGTTGCTGAAGCAAAAAATATGCTTTGATAACTTAAAATTCTTTTGTTTGGTCCTGGTTCGCAAAAAGTGATGGAGAGAAGGATAACAAAAACGAAGGATGATGGTGATAGAGAATGGTTGTAAGAAAAGTGACGGAGACCCCAACGCAACGAATGGAAAGGTGGAAGATTATATATCTTTTACAGAGAAGATAGTAATATTTATTACAACCATGAGAAAAACATGAAACCAGAATTGTAACAGTGATTGATATCATGAGCTCGGTAAAAGCTCTAAGCGTCCGGTGCTGCTGGATTGTTCACGTCAACGGGACAAACAGACATTGGTGGATCCTGGAACAAGGAAATAAAAAAGCAATCAGTGAATGTAAAGGATAAATAATAACAAAGGAAAGACCGAAAGAGCTACCACCTGAAAGCGGTTAAAAAACTTCTCCTTCCCTTTGATATATCCAGGTTTCCTCTCCATCTCACGAATTTCGTCAATGTACTGTTCTAGGTCGAACCCAGGTATATGTTCTTTTAACAGTTTAACTGGAATAGATCTCTGCCACTCGTCGTCATTATCAGGCTCTTTAGCCAGTAATTTCTTAAGCAATTTCTGGAACTTTGGTTTCTAAAAAAAAACAAAATCCACACAGAAATTCAATTATCATAGCCTAAAACAAAAAAAGAAAAAAAAAGAAAGGGTATTTACTTTGGCAAGGTCCTCCACGTCTGAGGGATTAATTGAGGGATTAAAATTGAAATTCATGTTGAGCGCAGGAATTCGTAAGCCTGATTCCGGTTCTGCGGAAATATGAAAACACTTAGAGTCTTAAATAATTCAAACACTAAAAATTGAGATAAACAACCGTAAAGGTCACAATACCTGAAAGAGCAAGAGTTTTCTCTGAATTTGTACCCATCGGATATGACCTAGAAATCACAAAAACCACACGGATCTGTTCACAGATTGGAAATCGAAACCTAATCCAACGAATCAAAAGGAAATCATATTGTGGTGGAGGAGATACCTTAAGGCAGCGGTCGCGTGATGAGGAGATTGCGGATATGACTAAAAACCCTAGAAATCACAAGGATCTGTTCACAGATTAGACATTATAGTTTATTTAGGAAAAGTAGAGATCAAAATAATTTAAATCAATTAAAAAGATGTTTTCACGTTTTTTTAAGCCTTTTTTCTACTTTTTATTTTATTATTATCCAAATTCCATCTTATTTGTTTGGTAGGTTAGCGCGGGGTATTTGCAAAATTTTTAGTGAAACTGTTGTTTTACTAATAATATTTACCAAAAAATTTGAAGAAAAAAGGAAGAAAAGAAATTATTGGTTTCAACACATAAAAAATATTGAACATGAGGATAGTAATTAGTCGATAGTAGATAAAAACCACAAAAAGTAATTTAAACACAATAAATAACCAAAAATTTTATACTTTTTCTTATTCCTGATAGGGTATGTTTATTGATTGTTTTGAAGTAGGTATATAGTGATATATAATATGCAACCGTATACTTAGATATCATATATCTAAGTATATCATTTATGTTTTTTTTTCACAAAAACAATTTTAACAAAAACAATTAGACAAGTAAAAAGCATTTACGCATAATGATAATTATTAAACTATTATTTTTAACATATAGATATTGATGATAATATTCATCTAAACAAAAATAATCTCAAACTTAACACTAAAACTTCATATAGTATTTTGGTCTTTCAAAGTATATTGTATTTGGCCTAACTAACTCTATTGTCTTCTTTTTTGCTATGATCAATGTTGATTCTTAGTCGAACTGACCCTATCTTAAAACTCTTTTATCTCCACCACACACTTCTTCGCCGTCAAAAGCATCTTCGTCTTCAACCACCGCTTCCACATAACTCTAATTCATTACGTAGATTCTTTACCGTTTCTTTCGGATCTACAATCCCGGATTCCCTAGCTCGATGCAACATCTTTACTGGTCTCTTGCATCACTTCTCTGTCACCTCCGTCTTGTACTCTTCCAACATCTCTCGGACTTATTTATAATCATCTATTAGCTTCTCGTTCTTCAAATAAATCATTGATCTTTGTTTGTGCTTTTGATTCAGCATCTTGTACGTAGCTTATTGCGTTAACAAAGCTTTATGCACACCATTTATCTAATTATATAACGTTGGCTAGTTTGTTCAAAGATAATAATACATCACGAACAATACGTCATCCTTCACACGTCCTCTTACGTCGCAACATCACAAAAAATTTCCATCAATGAATGTTTCGTTAGCGTTTTACAATAAGGACCACCTAACCATAATTAAGTTTGTAATAACTCACGTCTATGCTATTTATACATGGTTTTTGTAATACCTTAGTTATAAGAGGACAAACACTTTTCAGTTTTCAGACAATCCATGAAAAGACGAGTTGTGAGGAGATTACTAAAGGATTTTTCTTGAGAAATAAGCTCAATGAGCTCCATTGGAACCAAAATCTTCGTCATAAACACTATGGTAAATTACGTGACGATGTTTGAATATCCAGAGACTTGAGTTAACAATACGTACATTCTTGCCTCTTTATATATATTACCTGTTTTGATATGTAATATTCTGATAAAACGCTCTGCAACCATGAGAACAAATCTGAGATAGAGATAAAGTGAAAAGATTACAAAACGTAGGAAAATACAGTTTCAAGTTTTAACAAACTCATCAAAAGGATTTTCGTTTTTCTTTCTTCTAACCATATGCTTTCTAGTTGCTTCTTATAATGTGTATGTACCAGAAGACAAATAGAGACATGAATGCTCTCTTCAACTTTAAAAGGATTACGTACAATGCTTTTTGTTGTTTCTGTTTACCACACACGTCTCTTCTTTTCTCTTTTCCAAACCTAAGCCACGATCTTGATATATTCTTGGGTTTTTGTCTTCAAATTTCCTTCACGGTTTGTGCAATTTGAACCCGAACACTCTTTGAACATAGTTTTGTGTTGCCTTTGGTGGCTTGAGATGCCCATAACTCATCAGGAACAGATGGGGAAATGTTGTCCCAAAGTAAGCTCCATCAATGTCTGTTTATCGCTATAAGGAAAAAGCCAATAAGAGTACCTCCTGCAGATCTATAGAAACTCAAAAAAATTATTTATGCCAACAATTAAAATAAGAAAACACTATCAATCAAACATAAAATCAAACGTTAACGAATTAAAGTTAAAATTCATCGGTTGAAGCGGTTTCTAGATTTCGTGCATTGATTTACGACTTGCTTCCACACAACCTACAATTAAATACAATATGATATTCAAACAAAAAAATTGGCATGGTAAAAAAAAAACAACAATAGGTAGGTATGATCTTATAGTGAATAAAATGAAAATATAGATTCAAATATCAATGTTCTATTCTCAGTTTTAGATGGCTATTTATACATATAGTTAGTACTTTAGAATTTAGAAAATTTTTTATTTTCCTTTTTACTCCTATGAAAATTTGGATATTTTTCTTTAAAATTTAAGAAACTTAACATATATTGACTTTCAAATTTTAGCAAATTTATGTTTATCTTATTTTCATATGTTATTATTTTTATTTCTAAAATATTTTAGGAGATTTAACATATATTGACATTTGAAATTTAGCAAATTTACATTTTTTTATTTCTATATGTTAATACCTCGATTTTGTAAATATTTTACTATAAAAAATTTATAATGTTAATTAATGATGTGGCTGATCGCGAATGACCGTCTAAAATCCTATGTGGATGGCCTTAGAAGCATTTAGTCTCAACTTTTATATAGTATAGAAGTTTGGTTTCTTCAAACAAACAATCAACTTTGGTAATCGGTGAATTTTTAACTTCAATTTGTTGATGTTTGATCTTATGTTTGATATATTGTGTTCTAATGTTTTAGTTGTTCGCCAAAAAATTAAATCGGATGTTTTAGGACAATTTTCCAGAAAGGTAAATGTTCTCATCTCTTTTCATGATTTGTTATATGTTCTCATCTCTTTTCATGATTTCATGTAAATATATGTATATACACAAGATTATAATTTGAAATATTTCCATATTTTCAAATATTTCTCTTTTTTCGACAAAATTTATATTCAGAATTTTTTCATATTTTTAGATATTTTGTTTATAAATTTAATAGTCTTTTAAAAATTAAAACTTTACATTTTGATTATTTATATTATGTTTTTAAATAATAATATTTATTGTTAGTAGATTTTTGTGTAAATAATAATATTTATTAAAATTTTAAAATATATGTTTTTATACGGCAACTTATTGTTAGTATTTTAAATTCTTTGAATTTTAAAATTACTGTACCATGGAAAATAGTTCAATTTAAATACACAATTTAAAAAAATCTCTAATACAATTTTTAGGTTTTTACAACATTTATTATAATAACATATTTTTGTTTAATAGCTCTCTCTTTAGCTAATTGAGTCTTTTTATATATGACATTTTGGCTAATCTCATGAAATAAATTGTTGTAAGGGAACATAGTTTGATGACTTTCTCATTTTGGTATGCACAAATTCACTATTTTTTTTTGTCTATCTTCACTGCATTAGTTAGTATAGCTCTTTTCAAAATAAGATACTATAAAAAAAAAATACTTATAAGCTTATCTATACTTTCTTTTTAGCAACTCATATTTTTCTCTCATTCTTTTCAATATGAGTATGAATTTCCGTCTTCACAATTTTTTTTTTGAGGGCTTTCACTCTTTCTATCTTTTTGCAAACACTCATTGTCTTTGTGTCATTCTCTATTCCCATTAGCACATCTACCATTCATAAATATTCTTAATTTAAGAAATTATTTTATATATATATTCTAATAACTAAATTATACATTATTCTTATTTCCATATGTTGTTTTCAACATTTTACATTTCTCTTCTTTACATATCTATTATTTTTTCCTTTTCATAAATATCTTAATATAAAAATATTAGAATTTAAAAATATTAATTATTATGACGTTTAGAAATATTAATTAGCGAGATGCCTAACCGCGATTGGCCGTTTTAAATCCCAAATTTGTTTTTTTTTCTTTTACACAAATATTTCTTTTATCTAATAAATAAAATATAAAGATATTTAATTAATGAGAATGCTATTGGGATTAACTAAAATTTTTATATTTAGAGTATTTTACATATTTTAAATATTTTCGTTTATAATATAATAAACTTTTAGAAAAACAAAACTTTACATTTGATTATTTTATATTATATATTTTATTACAAAATTTATATTAAGAAATTTTTCTATATTTCTGTATATTTTTCTTATTTTCATATGTTACTTTTATCCATTTTTACAAAAATCTTAATGTAGAGAATTATTAGCGAGATGGCACACCACGATTTGTCGTTTAAAATCCTACGTGGACGGCCTCATGACTTCGAATCAAAATGTGTTAACTAACGAGATGGCAAATCGTGATTGATTGTTTAAAATCCCACGTGGACGACATGAGAAGCTTATAGCCTCGACCTTTATATAGTATAGATAAATAAATTTAGTAATCTTTAAGAAATCAAAACTTTACATTGTGATTATTTATATTATGTTTTTATAGAACACAAGATTATAATTTGAAATATTTCCATATTTTCAAATATTTCTCTTTTTTGACAAAATTTATATTCAGAATTGTTTCATATTTTTAGATATTTCGTTTATAAATTTAATAATCTTTAAAATATTAAAACTTTACATTTTGATTATTTATATTATGTTTTTTAATAACACAAGATTATAATTCGAAATATTTCTATATTTTCAAATATTTCTCTTATTGTTTTTTATTTCCTTTTACTAAAACTTTTAAATAGAAAATTATCATAATCAAAATATGTTAATTAACGACATGTCTAACCGCGATTGGTTGTTTAAAAGCTTACGTGGACGGCCTGAGAAGCTTATAGCCTCGACTTTTATATAGTATAGACTAGGTTCTAAACCCACGCTACGCGTGGGTCTATATTTAATATTTTTAGTAAATTTTTTGTGTAAATAATAATATTTATTAAAAAATTTAAAGTTATGTTTTTAGTTTTTATATGGCTACTTATTGTTAATAGTTTAATTCTTTGAATTTTAAAATTACCATGGAAAATTGTTCAATTTAAATACACAATTAAAAAAAAAACTCTAATACAATTTTCAGGTTTTTACAACATTTATTAAAAAAATATATTTTTGTTTAATAGCTCTCTCTTTAGCTTTAGATATTTTGGATGACTAAGTCTTTTCATGTACGACGTTTTGGCTGAATCTCATGAAATAAATTGTTGTAAGCTAAGGGGACATAGTTCAATGACTTTCTCATTATTCTATTAAAAAATATACTTATAAACTTATCTATACTTTCTTTTTAACAAGTCATATTTTTCTCTCATTCTTTTCAATATGAGTATGAATTTCCGTCTTCACAATTTTTTTAGAGCTATAACTCTTTCTATATGTCTTTGTGTCATTCACTATTCCCATTAGCACATCTACAATTCACAAATATTCTTAATCTAAGAAATTAGTTTATATATATTCTTATAACTAAATTTTACATTATTCTTATTTCCATATGTTGTTTTCAACATTTTAAATTTCTCTTCTTTACATATCTATTATTTTTTCCTTTTCATAAATATCTTAATATAAAAAATATTAGAATTTAAAAATGTTAATTATTATGACGTTTAAAAATATTAATTAGTGAGACGCCTAACCGCGATTTGTCATTTTAAATCCCAAATATTATTTTTCTTTCCTTTTTCACAAATATTTATTTTATCTAATAAATCAAATATACAGATAATAAATTAATGAGAATGATATTGTGATTAACTAAAAAATTTATATTTAGAATATTTTTCATATTTTAAATATTTTCGTTTATAATATAATAAACTTTTAGAAATATAAAACTTTACATTTGATTATTTTATATTATATATTTTTGTACAAAAATTATATTAAGAAAATTTTCTATATTTTTTCTTATTTTTATATGTTACTTTTATCCATTTTTACAAAAATCTTAAAATAGAAAATTATTAGAATCTAAAAAATGTGAATTAGCGAGATGGCACACCACGATTGGTCGTTTATAATTCTTCGTTAACGCCCTCAGAAGCTTATGGCTTCGAATCAAAATATGTTAACTAATGAGATGGCAAATCGCGATTGGTGGTTTAAAATCCCACGTGGACAGCATCAGAAGCTTATAGCCTCGACTTTTTTGATTACTAGGTTCTGAACCCACGCTACGCGTGGGTCTATTTTTAAATTTTTTTTAATAAAATTTTGTGTGATTAGTAATATTTATTAAACTTTTTGAATATATGTTTTTATATTTCTACTTATTGTTATTGTTAATAGTTCAAATTCTTTGAATTTTAAAATTACCATGATAAATAGTTCAATTAAAATATACAACTTAAAAAAATTCTAATACAACATTTAGGTTTTTACAACATTTATCAAAATTATATCTTTTTTTGTTTAATAGCTCTCTCTCTTTAGCTTT